TGTCAATCAAAAATAACTACTTTAAGTGAAATTCAGTCACGGTTTGTTATGTAATGTTTTGTTTTTCAGTTTTTATTCAGGGTTACAATTTATGAGTTCAGTTCCTTTGTGTTGGTTCTTGTGTTTTCTGTTGATTTTTTTGTAACTATAATTCTGTTTTCAGTGTACAATCACATTTTAACATAACTACATGTATGGTACATGATAAACTCTGACATGCGAGTAATCATCTTTCACTTGAAGTTATTCCAAATTACAGTCTACTATATCCTCTGAGGATGGTCATTTTATTTGAAGTTCATTCACTGGAGATTTATCCCATACTTTGGCTGGCTGCTTCAATGCTTATAGTTATTTTATGTAGCTATTGTTGCTTCATGTGAACAGTGCATCACAGTGGGAGATGGGTGGCATGCTGGCATGGTTGGCAGGCCAGTGATGGGAATTTTGTTTGCCAGTTAATCATGTATTGCCCTGACATAATTGAGTCAGGCTATTATCTTAATGATCAATAAACTGGGCAATAAATGACGTGTTTGAAGTGTGCCACCTTTACTTTCTCATAATTGAAGTCTATCACCCGGTCCGAGAAAATTAATAAAGAGAAACTGGAGGTTAATCTTAATTACTGTTCCCAAACAAGAAGGAATGTGCTACGTGACGATCTTGCTCAAAGCTGAAGGCTTATTTCAACTTTTATTGTTTAGGCAGTCATATTTCAGAAATTGTTATTTTGAAGTCATTCATTTAAGACCTCACGTTGTATGGGAATTCTGAGATCATTTTCACTTGGCAGAGTGGAAGCAATACCCAAGAAATAAAAGTCCACAGGAAGCCAACAATGATCTGTTGCTCTACAGTTTTTTTCTACACATCTAAGCTTGTTAACCTGACTGCTATGATGCTACATGCATGAAAGTATGTGTTCCTGTGTTTGAAGGCGGTGTATGTTTATTAATTATGAGCAATGACTCTAGTTAACCATAGTTCAACTACATGTAACAACGTCCAAATGATGGATGGTTTGGAAATCTACTTGACTGTTTGGGACCAAACCCCAAAACTTGACCAACTCATTCGAATGTAACTGAATAGCGCATGTGCATTGTTAAAAGCAGTTGACTACTAACAAGCTCTATTTTGCTCCCCAACTTGCCCGTATTCATTATAGAGGTCATTGATTGGTCCTAGCTGTCAATAATGACACTCGCTTGAATTACGTTTCGCTGGTTGTGATTATGTAGAGCACCCACGTGGAGGTATTACCCTGCATTCAAGTCGTTGACAATTTGATAACGGCAGAGCTTTGGTTTACAGATGTACACTAGCTTCATCATGATTTAAGGTAGGTCAAAGCATTAATGTTTTTGTGTTGTCATCATGTGTACTAGGCCTACATATTTTTATCTTTAAATGGCTTGCGAAGATAGAAACAAGTGATAATGTTCTGAATTAGTCTGAAGGTAATTTGAATTTGTACAGGGGTTTTATGAGTATTGCTATTAAACCCAGAACATAAACTTTGTATGCTGTATTCTGAAAATAATTGGGTTTTGTTACTTGAGTGGAGCCTCAAATGGAGTGTTGTCCTTTGGTCAAGAAGGTTTTCTTTATAGTCAAATTGAGTCACATGATATTGGAGCTCTCCAATAAAATTAACACATTAGATAGTGAGATTGGGCACCTGTGCTTTGAAGAATTAGGAAAAACAGAAACGACATTTATTAATGACTGTCCAGAGAACGAAAGTATGCTTCTTGTTATACCCAACACATGTAGGCTACAAGAGAGGCATGCTAAATGCAATGTACAATGTACTGTGCATATGTATGTGGACTGTCAACAATAAAGATATACAAAATGCACTTTTGAATGCCTTTCCTGCTTGACATGATCATGTCCCTAGTGTGCTTGGCTTCGGGTCTTAAGTTATCAAACGCAACAGGTGTAACTCTCAATAGGTAGAAATATATCTGTTTCAATTAAGGCGTACAAAATTGCCCTTTTGCCCTAACTCCATAGGGTGTATGTATTTGACTCTCTTCTTTGTCAACAGTCTTTTCAAAATCTCCAACACAGCTAAGCAGATGGACATCAAACTTAGAATTTTGATGGTAAATAAATTAATTTTGACATTTCTGTTGAATTTGGTTCATTTATGAACTTATTCATTCATTGCTTTTTAATGGTCTTTGTTTTATATATATTGTGTTTTGTTAGCTTTCTATCCTCATTCCTCTTTAAATTAGAATTTTATAAGATTGGTAGTTAATCAGCTCAGATTAAATTATGGATAAATAAGCTTCAATGTATTAGTTGATGCATACTGTTTCTTGGAACAATGGACCAGCTTAATGTTATTCTTTCCTTTTGAATCATTCACAGATTGTGATTCTCGTTAACAACCCACACAATGGAAATGGTGAGTTAAATGGAAATAACAGGTGGTTATGTTCATGGATCAGTACCTTGGATTTGAATGAAGATTATTTCAATAGATTAGAGCAAAATGTAAAATGGAACTGAGAAAATGTTTACATGTAGAACAGCTGGCTGACTTATCAAAAACACAAGAATTGGTAAGTTTTACATGGAATGTGTTAGAAAGACATCTGGTTTCCATAAATAACCAAAGATCCCTGCTGTTTTGAAATGTAAGAGCATGCTTGTATAATCTGGGTATAATTAAGCCTTATTCTACCTTTAAAGATAAAGATCCATGAAATAAAAACCTTTATTTATGGATTGTTTCCGTTTTTGGTTTCAACAGCAATCAGTTGCTATGTGTGTGATACAAGCAGCAACGATGACTGTAACCCTGGCACTTCAACAACTTGTGGCAGTGAACAGGTTTGTCACGGTTTTACATCACTTTACTATCAGCAAAGTGCATGGTGCCATCCCTGTCTCATGGTCTATTATGGTCTGTCGTGGTCTGTCATCTGGGAACTTGGTTTGACTTGAAGTTGTTTATGAGCACTCCTATTGCTAAGGCTTGTTCCCTATTTTTTCCACCTTCATAACAGCAGATGTATGAGCAGTGTTTTGTTCAAGGAATCATTGGTCACCCTTATTCCTGCATTTAGTACCAACAGACTTGATTATTGTACGGCCATCTATATGGCATTTCCGAAATAGCTAAGTTACAAGTTCACAACGTACATATAGCTGTTAGGCTTGTTAGCAACACACAGAAATTCAACCACATCTAACTGGTCTTGCGTCGGTTACATTGGCTGCCTGTGAAATTCCGCATAGATTTTAAAATTTTTCTTTTACTTTTTAAAGCACAACATGGTCTGTCCTCAAAGTACATCAGTGACCTTGTTGGTGTAAAGAAGACATCCACCTACTGTATATTTTCCAATGATAAAGTGTGTTTAAAAACACTTGGGGTAGATCTTTTTCACATGCTGTCCCTGAATAATGGAATAAGTTACCTGCTGATATTCAACAATCCAGGTCTTTTTAAACTGGCTTTTAACTCATTTTACCGCTCATCTTTCAGGGCTGAAAATTGTGTGTAACTAAATGTAGATTTTCAAGATGTATTTTTTTTTCGTT